TGAAATTGTCCTATTATTCCCACTTATGGTCCTGTACAGGGCTTCATTATAAAAATTCTGGAAGCTGGAATGACCTTAAACTTCACAAAGATGCACAATCCTTGTGGTTTGTTCACTGACAAGCCTGTTTCTTTAGAACTTCTCCCTCTTGGTCTCGCTGTACCATATTAGGATGATTTTCTTCCATTGTGATGAAAGGCTTCAAGTGGCAAAAGGCAGAGATTGCTAAGCCAGACATGTTCTATACCCAAAACCCACAGCATCACTCCCACGGTATTCTCCTTAAAATGACTGAAGAATCATCTGAAATTCAGTGGTTAGGAAATGAACACACGTGCTTTGGAAATGTAGTTTGGATGACAGTACTAGATCGTCTTTGAAAATCCTTTCTCTGTGCCTTCTCTCTGGCTACACCAATGCATGTACTTTGTATATGGTATAAAACAAATTTAAAGATTTAAAGTACAGATTTGAGTACAGATTTAAAGAACAATTAAATAGACAAATAAATGAATACATTAGTAGATCTCATATAATAAACAATAGAAAGAGGACTGATAATTTCCCCCACTATTGTATTCTATTATTTTGTTTGAAAAGAACTATTTCATATTGTTTGGAAATCTAAGGTGTTTTACCTACTCTTTGTGTACTTTTATTTCAAAAAAATATAAATGGTCTTCTGTTCCTAAGAAATATACAGAACGATTTTAATAAAAATATTTTAGTGCAGGATAAAAAATATTTGACTCTATTTTATATATATATAAGTCTCTGAAAAAATATGTCTCTGTATTTATCTATAAAATCAAATACCACTTTCCCTTAAGCCAGGTGAACTGTATCATCTCCACATAATGAAGGGTTTCTTATCACTCTTCTGAACAATGGGACCAACAGATTGCTTTAGACAAACCCTAGACATCTCAGTATATGAAGCTAAAATATTAATTCTTTTAAAGAGATGGTTGAAGAAGGAATGGGAGTTCTTTTCCAGAACACAGTCTTGATAAATCCATCATTTTCTTGTACTCCCTCATCTTCTGTGTGAGACAGTGAGGAAAGATACACAAATATGCCTTCTCTTGTCTTTCAATCTTTACACATTTTCCTAATGAATCATTTGTTATTTCTTTTTTGATTCATTTTTCCAATTTATTTTAAAGAGAAGAATATACATATAAAGAAAAAGGAGTTTCAAAACAGGCTAATTAGAGATAGCTTAATTATCCTAAGACTGCCCCAGAAGTACCTGTACAGTTTTTACTGATACCAGAGCCTTCTATAACTCTCGATAAGTCTGTCCTTGGTTTCCGATTAGATCTACCCATGAGCATATTTTGCATGACCAATTGAGTATATGGTAGTGTAGGAGTCACCATTTGCCAGTAACTGAGAATGTGGTAGTGTAGGAGTTACCACTTATTTCATATTCCTACACCCTCACAGAGGTAACTTGGAGTTGTGTTTCTTACAGTTTTTCCAACTATACCTACAAAGAAAAAACCCTGAATACACAGTAATTTGCTCAGTAGATTCCATGTTGTTGGTTTTCTTCACACTCTTACTTGCTCATCAAGTCTTTCTTTAGATCATTTACTAGTATGTTATTTACAAGAGTGTTACATTGGTTCACTTTTGTGAAAATTCCTGATAGAATACCTTTATATTATTGATCTGCTGTTTATGAGACCAGAAGAAGACAAAGACCATGTCAAACCCTAGAATTGCAAAATGCACAAAGAGCCCATATGACTTGCTAATACGAACATCTTCAGCCATCTTGACTACAGCCATGCACTCACAGTAGGAATGGGCCATAACAAAAGAGCAGACATATTTAAGTTGTTTCAATAAAATGGGTAAAATCCCAACCAGTACTGTGGCCTGGATTGCCACTATCAGCACCATTTGAACTAGAAACAAAGACGTGAGGATGGCTGTGTGCCTCAAAGTGTCACAGATGGCAATGTATCGGTCAAAGGCCATGGCCAGGAGGATGCCAGATTCCATGCCCTGCAAGACATGAACAAAGAAGAGCTGGGTCAGGCAAGCATCAAAACTATGGAGCCAGAACCAAACCAGAAAATGGCCAACATCTTAGGAGCGATGGCTACACAGAGACCTAGGTCAGTAGATGCCAATACTGCTAGGAAGATATACACGGGTTGGTGTTAACTGCATTCTATACGGATAACAACTAGCAATAAAATGTTCCCCAGCAGAGCCAGCAGGCACAAGCCAAAGAAAGGAAATTCAACCCAAAACTGCACATTCTCTAGTCCAGGGATACCAATCAGAGTCACCATCCTTGAGTTCTGGTTTGAAGTATTGGTGGCTCCCATGTTGGCTGATTGTACTTTCTAATCTTTACATGGCCTATGATCTAGTCAGAGAAAACTTACAAATGGGAAGGAGAATGGCTCAGCTCTTATACTTTCTCTCAGAACACATATATGGAAATTTGACCCTGTGACTATAAATCTTTATGTACCAACTTAATTCAACATCAGAATAGAGCTCTTATTATCTATTTAGAAAGCCAAAGTTACTATTTGTGGACGGGTTATGCAATCCAAAGTTCATTTCTAAGATGCTGTTTAAATGGAGACTATGGTTTTAAAAGCAGTGATTCTGTTAGTCTTCCAATTAGCTGTCAGAGATGGCAATCTGAACATTCATCTGTGTCCCTCTGGGACTTCAGTCACAATAAAGATTAGAGTAAATTCCTCTGTGATAACTGAAGTCATAGTGCAGGTGCTCAGTCCCACAAACACTTTCCATCAACTCAAAGTTCAGAATGTTCAGACTGTGTAGTCTTGCTCAATCTGCTTATATTCTTATGGTCAAGCTGTAAAATTCTCCTTTTCTCAGCTTAAGAAATGACTGCCAAATCAATTGAAGAGTTTTCTTCTTTAGGTGATATTGATTGGATTATTTATGGCTGGTCAATTTTTTAGGTTCCTGTAGGAACTGTGTAGTTGATTCTTTTTTCAGTATTACTATATTGGACTTACAGTTATTATTGTATTAAGAGTATTAGCCGAATGGAGTGAAAAGTTATCCAAATACTGAGAGATCTGAAAAAAAAAAGGAAAGTTGAAAATAAATAAGTGGCAGTAAATTTGATTAATCTGCAGACCAAAATACCTAGCCTAATGTATAACCTCTATGGATCAGTCACATTTACGTCATCAATGCAAAGCTATGGGCTATTAAGACTCTCAGTGCAACCTAGGTGCCTTTTTCCATTTTAATTTTAATTGGCAGTGAAAATAACCCCTATGTGTAAATGTTGTTGTAAAAAAGAAAGGAAAAAAAGTGCTCTAAAGGATTCAACTGCAAGTGTGTTTAGGTGTGTTAAGATAATGACCATATTACTGAGTTTTTGTTGGATCATTGAACACAACTGTTCGCAGTCTCACTGTTTGAATGTCCACTTTGTACGCTTTAATCCTGTAACTCGAACAACTATTTCTAAGATAATAATATGTAATCTATTAACTAGTGATTTCTTACTGTTTTTTTTTTTTTTTTGTAAATTTTGTATTACTTGTACCCTTATACTGTTTTTTTTTTTCTTTAAATAAAAAAAAAAAAATACCTGCATGGGTTTTTCTATCTTCAAACACATGTTTAACATTGTTAGTTACAAAAAATCAAAACAATTGTATTTCTACGTAGTTTTTATTTATGGTTATTATTTTCATGTTATTTTTGATTTGCTCTAATTCTATTGCCATTGCGTTGTATAGTTTCTTAATAGATATAATCTTTTTAATGCAATTAATGGGTCTAGGAATCAAAACTATGTTTTCCTGATAAAATGAACTGGGATCTAGTGCACCTCATAGCTTTTCTAAAAAAGTAATTTTGATACTGAGTACTGTTTTTCCTAAAATGTGAGGTGCAATTCTCAAGAAAGTAACTTGAAGTTCTGCATAAGTTTTAATTAAAAAGATGCACTTGCCTAATAGTCATACAGCGATTCTAATTTTATATTTGCTTTTTTTAATGCTTGAAAATTATATCCTTCAAGCATTATGGTCATTTTATTTACATTGTTGATTCTATTGTCTCTGTTTATGTGCAATACTCAACACTTTTGCTTCTATAAATAATCTCTTTATGTCAATTATTTATGTTTTTCTTTCTTACTTTCTCCTTTTCCTGATAATTTGTCATATATTTAATTGATTCCTATACAGTAATTACCTTTATTTGATTTGTATTTACTTATGTGTTATTATTTATGTATTTACAATTGTCCTTATTCAGTTATAAAACAGGTTCCAACTGTCATATGCACACACACACACACACACACACACACACACACACACACACATATATATATATATATATATATATGTATCAGAATGCACCACTAAATAATGCACATTAATTTTAAGAACATATAAAACTGATGCTATAATTTGTAAGCCATAACTTTATTCATGCATTTAAGCTTCTAGAAGTATGCCCAGATGGTAGCAAAAATAAATTAGAAATTAATAACAAAATGTTTATCAAAATCCTCAAATCTTAGTAATTGAGGAACATATATCTTAATAAGTTGTGAGCTAATCTGGAAATTAGAATGAATACTGACCTCATTTTAAATGAGTAAGAACAAATGTGAAAAAAAACAAAGTGATGCAGCAAAATCTAAGAATAAAAGAAATCCATAAATGCAAACATACATAGCTCAAAAACTAGTTTGATAATCAGTAATCACAGTTTCTTTAAGAAAAAGTTAAGGAATTACAAACTAAATGCAAAGAAATAAAAAAGGAATGTAGATTAGAAGTGAATTTCATTATAAAAATGTTCAGTCTTCATCCAAATAATATTTATGTAAACATGGCCATCGTTTTAGAAATGTTTGTATGTTCCAGCATGATGATTTGAAACCCCAAGCATAAGCCATGCAGAGTAAAAACTATCACAGTTTCTAGAAAATAACATGATTCTTTTAACAAGCATGAATATTTGACAGATCACTGGTGGGATCCACATTCAGAAGAAAAATCTGAGCCACACACTTACAAATAACCACTGCTATTTTTTCCTTTATTTCTTAGGGTATAAACACACTACTCACAGCTTTATATATACTTACAAAGCAGCAGCAGAATAAACATAAACAATACCTAGTAAGTTCAAAAACACCTAGGAAAGATGCTATAATTCACCACAAGTCCATCGTAACATACTGAAGAGATAGATACGTTGGAAAGTATTCCCTTAAACCAATGAATTTAAACTTAGTAATAATACTGATCTAAAATCATAAGCATTAGCACATATGATAAGTACCATGTATCTTGATATTTCATGAAATGATCAAAATTCATAAAGAACACTGACCTTAGTTTTAATTAAACAAGAATAAAAACATATCAAAAATGAAATGCAGGAATATTAGTGATTAAATTTAATTCATAAATGAAATATACATAGCCAGAGTTAGTTTAAATATTAATACAATTTTAAATCAACATGTAGAAATATAATAAATCAATTAACAAAAAGGAAAGAGAAAATAACGAATTCTGACTCATTAAGTATTGCTACCAGTCTCTTTATAGCCATGGAGCGACAAATTTGTAAATAAATGTTCCTATATTCCAGAATTTTGAATCAAAATAGCATAGCACATACCCTCCATAATTTCACAGACCTTAAAATTAATATAGTCTTCCTTTTGGCCAAGAATATTCAATAGATCACTGCAGGGACCCATGACCCAAAAGAAAAATCTGGGCCACGCGCTTACGAATTACCATATTTTTTACCCCATAGACAATAGGGTTGAGAGCAGGTGGCAGCAAGAGGTAGATGGTAGACAGAAGAATGTGCATTGAAGGAACAACATGTCCAAAACGATGACTAAAGAAGGAAAAGAAGGCAAGAATGTAAAATTCAAGAAAAACAAAAATATGAGCTGTGCACGTGTTAAATGCTTTGAGCCTTGCTTCCTTCTGGTGGAGACGAAAAACAGCCTGAAAAATCAGGGCATAAGATATGAGGATAAAAATCATGTCAAATCCCAGAATGCTGAATCCCACGAAAAGACCGCATATCTTGTTGACTCGGACGTCTTCTGCAGCCAGCTTGACCACAGCCATGTGCTCACAGTAGCAGTGGGCGATGTGCACAGAGTGAAACACATGCAGCCTTTTGATGAGAATGGGAAGCAGACCAACCAGCAGGACAGCTCGGATCACCACCACTCCCATCATACACCCCAGGATGGAAGGTGTGAGGATGGATGTGTGTCTCAGAGGATCACAGATGGCAATGTAGCGGTCAAAGGCCATTGCTAACAGAATGCCAGACTCTATGCACTGCAAAGTGTGGATAAAGAACAGCTGGGCTAGGCAAGCATCAAAAGCCATAGAACAAGACTGGAACCAGAAGATGGCAAACATCTTGGGAGCAATGGCTGCACAGAGTCCTATGTCGGTGGCTGCTAGCACAGCCAGGAAGATGTACATAGGCTGGTGCAGGCTGTGTTCTACAGGGATGATGATCAGTAAAATGATGTTTCCCAAAAATGCCACTAGATACATCCCGGAAAAAGGGAACCCAATCCAAAATTTCATGTGTTCTAGTCCAGGAATGCCAGTCAAGTTTACAATTCTGGGGTTCAAATATGACATGTTCATGGCTTTTATAAAGGTTAGTGTTTTGTCTTCCTGTAGTTGATTGTGATATCTGAAAAAGAATATAAATGGATAGTGAAAAAATCTCAGGCTTTAGTGTCACTCAATCATTTTCTTTATGTTTGCATGAACTACACTGTGTATTGTGAAAAGAATTACAGTGCCAGTTCTTGTGGTGTTAGTTGGATCACAGTTTCATAAATTCCTACAATACATGTCATGACAGGAGAAGGTAAATTTGTGAAAGTACCAGAATCATCTCTGTCTTTGTCTCTGTTTCTCTCTGTCTCTCTGTCTTTCTATCTCTCTCTTTGTCTCTGTCTCTGTCTCTCTCGGTCTCTCTGTCTCTCTGTCTCTCTCTCTCTCTCCCTCGCTGTATCTCTGTCTCTGTCTCTGTCTCTGTCTCTGTCTCTCTCTCTCTCTCACTGTATCTCTCTCTCTGTCTCTGTCTTTATCTCTGTCTCCTTGGCCTCTCTGTCTCTCTGTCTCTGTCTCTCTCTCTTTCTCTCCCTCTCTCTCTCTCTTTTACATATCTCTTGCACTTAGGTCTTTTTAGGTGCCTCACTGTATTATTAAATTACGCAAATTGAACTTTGTCTTGTCTTCCCATGCAACCACACTAGGCTCGCATTTGACTCTTGTTAAAGCCGCTGACAGTACTGATATTTACACCTTCCTGACTTCTAGATCAATATGTTAGAAAACTTCTTTTAGATGCTTCCCTCTTTCCCATTCTAGAAACACACTTTGTCACACTTAGCAGTTTTTGTGTAAACCTTGATGGCTCCTGATGTAATGCCACACAGCCACACTGTTTAGGCACGCTTCTCCTGCAAGCTGTCATTTTATATTCTCCAAAGCAATTTGATAGAGAAGAATTTATTCATCTTATTTACTCACTCACTCTTCCAACAAAATATTTAATAATCCCCTATGTTTATGTCACTTAGTGTCACTTTCAGGGGAGACTGTAAGAACAGGTTTCCTGTAGACAGCCATAAAAGCTGGTTATTAGTGTGAATTATGGGCCTTGGAGTAGTAGTACTGAGTGTAATAAAATAGTGCAGAAGAAATATCTGTATCCAGGTAGATATTTGTATCCAACTGAGTTTATAATTAAAAAAGAATGCAGAGATATAAAATTGCTGAAAAACAGATACTTTAAAGAAGCACAGTGCACAATCAAATGCAGAAACTGGTTAGTTTGTACTTACTACTAAGATGACTAAACTCTTTGAGCTTGCAGAATTTTTTTGCAAATAAAAATAGTCAAACTGCTTAAGAACTTGTTTTTATAATTATCTATCTTTTTTGGCTTAGTGAGCATTGAGAATTTAATGGGAAAATGATTTCCTCAAAGTCTTTCTTTTAAGGAACAGGAGGTTACAAGCTTGATGATCTCAGCTTTTAAAAATAATCTGATATCATGGAAAGAGTTGTCTCATTTTTACTGATAGCAAGAAAAATAAAAAGTATGATTCGGTTGAAAGCATTAAGAAGTAACAGGAGCCCACTGTGTCTTTCTCGTGGAGAAGAAAGGGTGCTCTGCCGGACAAATAGAGCAGACACTAAGTCCTTCAAGAAATACCACTCCTTTGTCTTTTTCCTACTATCTACTCAACTCTAACATCCCCTGCATTTACAGAGAAAGCAAGAATAGGTTGCCTCTGTAGTACACATTTTTACTTTCAAAAACCCAATAAAAATAATTGGAATTCAATTAACTAGGATCTAGAGAACTGGAGTAGAAACTTGCCTATGTCATTGACTACTTGGCAACCTGATATACAGGAAGATATTAACTAAATAGCTATAAAATATTGGAAGTTTAACCTCCCTAATTTATTCACTCACACCTGTGTTTTTCAGTACTGGGGATGGAACCCATGGCCTTTCCAGGGACTCATCTATTTCTACTCGGAGACATTGAATTATTTCTATGTTGCTAACCTGGGGAAGGTTGAATTTGTGATTTTCCCAGTGTGTTAGAATTAAAAACATGCAGCAACACGACTGGTTTCTTCTTTTTTTATGTAAAGAAACAATTATAAATAAAGGAAAAAAGTGTAGTTAAAAAATTCATTGAGTAAAGCTAGACTTAAAATTCCCTTTCTATTAATTTTTCTTAAAACACCTGCCATCAAGGCAGTTACACAGTTTAGAAGCACAAAGTTACCTGGGGAACTGTGAGCACTGAACCTGGTGCATGAACAGATTAGTCATATACATTTGTTTTCACCCAAGATTCTCAGTGCACGTATATATCAATATCACTACTGTATATAAAGTTTGAGCTGATCCCAGAGCATCAGTATCTTTCCAATGTCCATAGTGTCTCATTATCCTCCTGAACCCCAGGCCTTTTACAGGCAGGTTTGTGCCCTATTTAATGGATCACAAACGTTACAGTTTTCACAAGAATGGAATGACCCAGGTATAAGAATTAGGAAATATCTGGACTTCGATCAGACTCATAACAATCCCTTTCTGAATGATACTAAAAGTGAGAATAAATTACCTTATAGGGGAAAGGAAGTAAGGAATGAGAAAAAATGTTTATACACAAAATTCTTACAATAGCTATAAACCCAGTTTGTCTTAGTTCATTGAACAAAAAGGTTTGCACTAATATTGTTTGGAAACAATATTAGGCCTATATTTTGTACTCTGAAAAACTACGAAAAAGAGCAAAATACAATGTGCATTTTGGGTCATCACTGCAAAAATGAGGGCCATAATAAATCTCCATGCAACCCAGATGCCTTTTTCATTTTAATTTTAATTGGCAGTGTAAATAACTACTGATACTCTGGATAAACTGCCTCACTTCACATCTGCTCCAAACTTCTGAGAATTTTTATATTTTACTTTGCCTCTTTATTTGGAAACCACCAAATAAAACTTAAAACAACATTATCTATAATTACATTTAAATAGGGGTTTTCCTGGAAAATTTTACAAGCTTATAACCATTCAAATCTTTCTACCATTTCATTAACTGAAGACATCACATGACTAAGGAGTATTTCTTTGATTGAGACTCTTTTCCTTTAGTAGGAAACTAGAGGGAAAACTTGTAAGGTTACAGGAAAAAATGGAATGATTCACAATCAGTGTTAACAGACAGTGTTAAAGTAGTAACACATGTGAATAAAATTTGTTATAAAATAAAAGATGTTTTAATAGTTAATTGACAATGGGGGACCTTGTTTTATTAGACTTTGAACTGACAAACATTAATAAGGTAAGGCCAATGAAATAGAGATTAAAATAGACTTTATATAAATAAATTCCTTTTATATCAATATGAAATGGGAATAGGTAGATCCACTGATAAATTCCCTAAAAGTGATGGCTTCTATAGACCAATGCATCTTGTTAGTGACACAAACTGTAACATGCAAGACCTAGTACAGCTGTAGAAAGAAACCAGTTTTGTGGCCATTTATTTGCAATTTTTTGGTAATCCTACAAGGAATAAAAGCAAAAATCAGCTCTAGATCCACCATAATAGTTCATAATTCAATAATTTCATTAATTTTCTTCTAAATAGTATAGTATATAGAATCATGGGATATAGATTTAGAAATATAAAATGTCATCTAGTAATGGATTTGCTTTTTTCCTCACTATAATGAGATTACGATACCAGTTAATTCATTAGATTATGGGAAGGACTAATTAAAACTATATGTGAATGTCTAGAAAATGAAGCAATCAATGCCTGGTAGCAAATGTTTGTCAGTAATACCAAGAGCATCTCTGAAAACAGAAAAACTACTGTTGTTTTGCAGAAACATAAAATAAATAGACAAAAAACAAAGAATTTCTGAACAAAGAATTGGTTAAAAATTTCATGATAAGATGGATTCTCTGCAACTGAATGAAACTGGCTAGCCAGATCGGTAAGATCTGACACTCATATAAGTAGAAATAGTGATCACTGTTGAAACTGACACATAATATGTCAGTCCTCCGCTCATCCTGCTTGAATAAATACATTTAGCCTATTGAACTATTTTGGCCAATAAACCTGAAAAATAAATCGTGTCCCATCTAAAAGCTTTAATAAGGCAGTAGGAATGTAATGAATGGGAAGACTAATCTAAAAATTGCTCCTGTGTCAGTAAATATGTTGTTATTTTGTGCAATCTATAGTTACATGATAATCTAGTCAAAAAGTGGTTTTCCTGGTCTCACAGTGGAAAATGACATAGGTATAGATAAATAAAGACACTATAAAGTACGGGAAAGGAATAAAAAATGGAAGATGTTAATGTCCCTGGTACAGACAAGATAAGATTTCAGGGAATGAAAAATGAGCATAGGATACTGGGGCCCAATATAACAATAGAATCAGGTAACAGTGCATGACAGACAGTAGAATATTTAAATTTTTTATTATCTGTCCATATCTTTAGAGCCCTCCTGTTTAAACACACACACACACACACACACACACACACACACAGACACACACACCATTCAGACTGAAATACTGAGAAATAGAGCATTCAGATCATTCAATTAGCTACATTTTGTACTCTCTTTTAAAATGTTATACCATTAAGAATCCTTAGCGATATGCATTGCCAGAACATACAAAGGAAACTCACCCAGATAAACAAATATGGGAGGAATATTAGAGCAATGAAAGCAAAGTATCTTTGCTGATAGATTTTAGATTCCAAAAGACATTAACAGCTAAGCGTCTCTCATCATCTGCCTGGAGCTCTTCTTTTCCTTTACTCTTCATAGAATCTGAGGTGCTCTCAGGAGAATGTTACTGACCTGGTCCCTGGAAGGGCCATCACACTTCTGAGACCAGCCTC